TTGAAAAAAGACAAAACCAATTATTCATCATTTTTCACTTAGTTTGAGGTGCAGCTTTTGCTCTTCTCAAAGGCACCACTCACAATTAATTGTCCTTAATTGCAGGGGTTGTTTGCTTAATTTAAATATGCAGATTCTTTTCAATTCCGCGAAGGATGAAAAATCCTGGTCAAATAGTATGCAGAATTATTCACTCACACACCCGCACAATAATCTCCTCTTTTATGATCTCTTTGTCTCTCACTCGATTTCACGACTTACAAATAATCCAGTATTCATGAGAGAGACTGGTGTCGTAATAAGTAATAACGTTACTTACGGTGTTAGAGTCACTGCATGATTGCCCCGTTAACGGATCTCCCGTTGCTGTTTCGTCCCAATGTATCGCCCGGAGCATTACTCGAGAATTCCAACGGACGCTTAGGCGATAGTATCGGTTCTCGTGTTTAGTTTAATTAGTTGATGACACGATCGATTTCGTGACTCACAGAGGGTACACTAATCCTCATTTTGTTGGGCGGTCGTTCCACGGATACACTGGGGTGGATCATCACCCCTTCCCCATTGTAGATTTATACCCGCAGGTTCGGAATGTGTGTTTCAACAATTCAACGAGACACCTATTCAAACACTGAGAAGAATAACGAAAGTTTGAAAAAATTCCATTACTCTGAACCCAGAAAAATGTTTTAAAAAAATCAAATCAAAATCTTTATTTGAAAATTTTTACTTATTTCAAGAAAAAAGATTTACTTGTATTGAACATACCATTTATTTGTTCCAAATAAAATTGTTATTCAATTTGAAAAAACAATTTATTTATTCCAAACGAATGATTTTTTTGAATCGAATAAATAATCTATTTAGTGTGAATAAACAGTTTTATAATTTTAAGAAAATTACATTTTCATGTACTTTGTGGAAGAATTTTGAAAGTGTATTTCAACAATATTCGCGGGCTATGTGAAAAAAGGTCGGATGAACCTAATCCAGAAAACGTGAAATCTGGACGATTTGAGCTCTCTAGAATCATTCTGATCCAATTTTTGATTACAATTTTCACTCCAGTATTTACGGCCTTCTCTCACCATCGTCTCCCTGATAGTGAAACCATGGAACAGAAATTTCTTCCCCCCTCCTCCCCCCAAAATGTTTTACGTGATGTATGTACAACCCGTAATAATTATTGCATGTTTTTCGTTCAATCTTTTTCGATTTTACTACCAACTCAAAGCGATAATCAATTTTTAGGACCAAATAAATATTTATTTAGTTCAAAGAAAAAATTTATTTTATTCAAATAAAGATTTATTAATAGTAGAAAAACATTTATTTAATATAAACAAAACTTTGAATACATTTTTTTATTCAATTTTTTCAAATACTTCATTTAGTAGTATTTAAGTAAACTTATGTATTTGCATCAAATAAATCATTTTTTTCTGTGTGTCGAAAAATTTCACCTGAAATTTCTGGTTATAGTCTTGGAAACTTCTAACAAGTAACATTTCCACTGAAATTTCAAAGAATTTTGTTATTGAAAATTCATAATTTCATGGAAAATCCGTGGAAACTGTAAATTTCAGTGTAATTAATGCGGGAAAATTAATGATAAATCAGAAAAATTGAACGGAGAAAAAAAATTAACGTAAAATTTAAAGACAAATGGAATAGAAATTATTGAAGAGTGTACTCTCTAAATTCGTTGAAAATGGGACAATATTTATTCATCTTTCTTGTGCTTTTCCACACACAATTCACAAATTCTACTGTATTTTTCCCATGACTTCAATCAAAAATTCCTGAAATTCAATTTTGTTCTCCAATTACCTAGATTTTCCATGCGATTTTGTTCTCCGGCTCATTAATTTTATTGTGCAATCAGTGTGTCGATCGATGCAAGGCAATTGTCGCGAGTTTTTTTGGTTCAGATAATCCTCTTTCTCGTGCTATATTCTTTTTCCAATGAGGGACTTCCGTTGAGGCAATGTGACTCTCTCTACACGTTCATTCAACCGGTGCTTGGGTGATAAATCGGGTGTCGAGACACGTGAAATTACTTGACGGCACACGTGCCAAAGTACGTAAAACGGATGGTGGATGAGTTCAAGGGGTTGGAAAAGTTTTTCAGTCCTACAATTGAATGTCACGTTTACAGAGTGATGTAAGGATTGGGGGGATGATTCAGTTGGTTTAGTGACGTAGGTGAGATGGTATGCCATTGATTTCGGCGTTATTGAGGGGTGAACTTTGGAGTAGACGGGTTGAAATAATTGTTTGGATTTTCATGGCAAATTCCAGAACTTTTAACAAATGAATTTTTCATCAAAATTTCAGAATTAGAAAAAATCACATATTCAGTTCAATTGTTACGTAGAAATTCTGGAAAATTATAAAATTAAGGTTAATATATTCTCGAATTTTTTATTGATTAATTATTCAGTGTATCCTAGGAAGAAAAAATTAGCAAAAAACTCCCAATAAAAATGAGGAATTGAAAAGAAAATGGGAAAATGCTGATTTTCTTCAAATTAGGAGGAGGGGATGCACATTTTTTCTAAAATTAAGTAGAGATTAGAAATTCATGCTATTTTTTTAGATGAATAAAACTCTGTTCACACAAATTACTTGAAATAAATTGAGAATTATAAATAATGAATCATTTTGCGAAAAATCTTTCGTCATTAGAGTGGCCAGTTCAAGGAAGTTGTCGCCATCTTGCGGAGAGTGTATATAGCCGTCATGGGTACCGAATGCAGACTATACAAATGATAATGCACCGATAGACGAGGTGTTTAAAAGCGAAAGGAGGTGGTCGAAGATTCAAATTTATTTTATTTTCAATATTCTATCGGAATAAATGCTTCAATTGGCGTGACGAAAGACGGTCAATTCCGAGATGTTGCACGCGCGCAGATAACATTCATCTTAGAATTCAGGGGGATTCCCCTAATTTCTAAGAATCAACGATTTTAGAATTTAACAAATGCAAGATCCTAAAACGAGTGATTTTGTCTCTTTGAAGTGATATGATCCTGAAAATCTGACATGTTCCTATTTTCAATAAATATTGATTAAAATTTCAGGTGATTTCACATAAATTTATTAGCATCCCCATTACTCAACAGGATTATTTTAAATAATTTTCCACCAGATTTCAGTGAGAAAATCCCTTATTGATTTATATCCTTTATGAATGAATGAATATGACATTAGTTCAGTAACTTTAGAACTGTTTCCGCAATAATACTTATAACCCCAGCTCCCCCCCCCTGCAATCGATTTTCAGGTAAACTCCGGGAAGTCGAGAGTGAAGAGTGCGGATCAATGAATTAAAACCGTTAAATCGCTCTCACTGCCGTTTTTAATAAGCAAAATCAACCCTTTAAAAATCTTTCGTTGGTCAACTGGCGGCATATGATCTCCCCCCCCCCCTCAACAGCACTCCGCATATCTTAGGGGTTTTCTACCCCTTTTCCCAAATCATAGCCTTAGTTTTAAAGCACAAAAGCTCATGTTAGAGATGAACCAAAAACATCACAGAAGCGATGCCTGTACCGCTCAGCAGCCAATACCGCTCACCCGTTTTGCTGCACAACCACTTACTTTTCCGATAAAAATTTCTCACTCAATCTGAAGGCTCTACTATCAATATAATTATAGTAATAGTAATAGTAACTCTCGCAAAAAATCCTTTTTTCCACCTCTTTAAATTACGAGAACAGCAACTTAAACAGAAAGGTTCTGTTACATATTGATTCCTTTTTGACTTCCTCTGGATTAAATATTTGAGTGCTCTATGTAAATTGCTATAATTAACACCTTGAAAAAGAGGACTATGTAACAATTTAATTTATGTATTATATTTTTGTACTGTTTTGCATCTTTTTTTTAGCAGAATAAACCAAATGGTTTGAATGCTCTGAATAAAAAAAAGGCACCCTACGGTATTCGGGCCTTTACGATGTAATTTGAGGCCAATAAGATGGTGCCTGCACCGCTTACCTAAGGAATAACAATAATTCTCGCATTGAAGCCATGATTTCGACTGAAAATTACAGTTGAATAGCATTCTTTAGCTATTCCGCTAGATATTTTGACATCATAGACTCTCAATTCTTGCTGAAATGTCGATAAATTATCAAACAACGAGGACGAGAGTTGGCAGCCAATACCTCTCCCAGTACCGCTCACTCTGCTCCCGTCTTCCTTTTTTAATAAATTATGACGATAATCCAAATAACTATTGTAAATACACACTGTACAAAGAGTTACGTTAAATAAAAATCTTAAAATTAAATTAACGTTTCCGCAACAATGCTTATTACCCTCGACCACCTCCCCGCCCTCCTGAAATCGATTTTTAGGTAAACCCTCAGAAGTCGAAAGTGAAGAGCGCGGATCAATGAATGAAAATCGTTGAATCACTCTCGCTGCCCTCGACAGCGTGATGATTGTACTCCAGGCGTCATGTGTCCACGAGTATGAGACCGGGGAGTTGTACCTGTAGGAGTTGAAAGGGGTCGTAACTCCCCCGCAGGTGGAAAACTATCGCGCAGACGCGTTGACCGATGTCCACTTTATTTCGTACAAACTCAACAACCATAGCAAGACCAACACAACTCCGTAATTATGCTGTTACTTCATGGGCTTCTCCGACATCTGATGGATTGAATGAATCAGTTCAGCACTTGCTGTGGAATAAATCAGGTAAGTGCTCGGCATTTTAACTCTTCAAAGTACTTCTCGATCAGTTTGTTCAGAGTTGAAAATCTTTGATCGATTATTTTCTGTGGGGGTTGAGGCGTGTTTATATTTTCGTTGGAACTTTTTTTTATAAATTCATGAATTTCTGGTTGAGTGAGAAGTGCCAACGAGCGACCTTCGCGTACAAACTTATAAGTACACTTGATCCTTGAAACCTACGGCACTTTTCACATTATTATTTCATGTAATCAATCAATGAACGCTGCTCCGGCGGCTTCAATGAGTATCTGGCACTCGTAGACCAGTACGTACCATCACTTATGGCCACATGAATCCCCTCACTCTGACTCTAAATCGGAAATAAAATACTTTTTCCTCCATTTTTAATTGTTGAGTGTTCTTCCATGAGAAATTTTTGAGAATGTGTTATCGGATCAGAGACTGGTGGTACGACATCGAGTGCCCGATGATGGAGAAACCGTCTTCTTCTGTCAACAGCATTGTTGATCTTGAGGATAGGGATCCCAATGGGCTGAATGAGCATCTCCAGGTTGTACCAACGTAACATATTTTTTTTTCTTAAGTCAGTAATTAGGGAAATTTTGAGGGGAGAATGAAGAAATGAAATCCAATAGGTCATGTGGGAGGACGTCATCGGGGAGCCCGATGGCATCAGGAGCCCAGAATGCGCGTGGAGACTCAGTGGACATTGCTTTCGCCTGTCGAGAGGCTGTTGCTACATCTTCTTGTCGATTTTGATAGCCCCTATTGTTGCCCTCTTCTTGGGTTTCACTTTCGCCTGTCTTTCATTTCAAGTGAGTGAAAATCAAAATATGTTATTTTTCGGCGGAGGAAGTTGAAAGTGTTGTGATAGTGTCGTGGTTTTTATCAGATACACTGTTGGAAATTCTTTGAAATACCGTGGAAGATGTTATAGTAAATCTCATGAGAGTGACATTGAATCAAATTTAGGAAAGAAGGGTTATGAAGTTTCAAGTTTTAAGTACAATTCACGGAAATTCATGAGTTTTCAGTGGGAGTGAGATGGAAATTTCACAACTTGATTGAATTTCAAGTGGAACATGAATACTCAGAAACAAAATGACATGAATTTTCAATTTTTCCCTGAATTTTACTGATTTTTCTGAATTTTCATAGAATAATTAAACTGAAAAATCAAATATTTTATTGATTTACAGATCATTTGAACAGAAAATCAATGGAATTTTTTATTTTTCAATGACAAGATTTTCTGAAATTTCAGTGGAACTTGAACAAGATAAAAATTTCCGAATTTGAAATGGAAAATTCAGACGGACATTTTTACCAGTGTATCAATGATAATCTCATAATAGTTCACTGTTCAAAAAATTCGATTTATGGGGAAAAAGTTGATGAAATTTCAAGTTTTTCGGGAAATTCAAGTGAAGTGGCATTTTTTAGCCGTAAAAAAACGAAAATTCCACAATTTACAAGAATTTTCAAGTGAAAGTGAATATTCATTGCTAAATTCCCTTGAATTTTCAGGAAGTTCCTCTAAAATTCATGGAATTTCAGGAATTCTTCAAGGAATTTGCTGAAAATTCAGAGGAATCTGAAATTCAAGGAGAGATTTCCATGACAGTTCCGATGGATTTTTCCATGAAATTGACAATTTTCAATGACTAAATGCCTTGAAATTTCAATGGAAGTGATAGGGGAGGGTGGGGCAAAACGGCCCCCCTTCAATTGTCAATAACTTGTGAATGACATTGTGAAAATTCCCAGTTTCAACTTCATTTTGAAGATAATTTTTCATTCTTCAAAACGAGCTCTAACTCATCCCCATCGGATTATTGAATCGGAAAATATTGACGATTGAAGGGGGACCGTTTTGCCCCATCCTCCCCTACTTGTTAGAAATTTCCAAGCCTCTTACCGGAAATTTCAGTGGAAAACGTTTAGCAGTGCAATGATGATGTTGATAATTGCGATTATCACAATTATCAAAAATCTTTAAAAAAAATACAACTGAATTTGAAAATCGTGTTGTCATTCCGCCTTTCAGGAATTGTTCCCAGACATGTAGTAAAAACGCCAGTAAATCTAGATAGGATTGCAATAATTTTAGCAAATTTTTCCTAAATTCATCGCATATTTTAATAGGAATTTGTTGAAAGACCAAATGCTACACAATTGCCAAAAACTCAAGGGTGATTTTTGACAGATGGTGTTTTTCCTAGGAATTTTCAATTTATATTTCCAGCAGAAGCTCCTAAAAGTTTATTCTTCCATAAATTTTTAACTTCTTGATTTATATGGGGTAGTTATTGTAATGGGCTAGAAGAGTCATGACAATAACTACGGAGGCACTCAAAAATTGAAACCGTAAATTTCACAATTTCTTCGCGTTTCATGACTCTAGAAACTGTCTATGAAGTTTTTAGAAGGATGATCGTGTGTGTATGTGTCACGAAGTTGACCAGAAATTTGTTCATTCCTCCGTTTTCTTTTAATTTTACAAAAATCCATTAATTACATTCTCTCCTAATTTAATCGTCCATATTATTATGTTCCAGCACATTTGGTGTATAGCTCCATGCCTCCGTGTGTGGAAAATATCGTGTGCAGCAACGAGGGCATTCTTTACTGGTTTCACCCACGCTCTCGTTCGCCCATGTACAGAATCCATTGGCTACCTTTTCCATAACGTTCGGATCCACAACCAAAAACTGCCCGATGGTCCACAGCTCAAAGATGATGCCCTGATCGTATAACTAAAGAAATTAACCTCTGCCATGCACATTGGCTCACATCGACATGATCCTAAATTTTCTCCGATAAACCGTTGCTACACGGAGGCAAAAGTTGGAGAAAAATTACCAAACGAGTCAAGTAATCGTGGAGCAACCTCGATTTCCAGTACTTTTTCACCTTAAGGGGTAACAGAATGTCGTTAATTTTCCAAATTTTTTAACAAATTTCCTGCTGAAAGTTATCAATATATTTACAAATCAAAGCACATTAATCTCCAGGAAGCGATGAGCAGGAAATTTTTTTGAAAATTTCGAGGAAAGGGTGGCCGAATTTTACTTCGTTGTCCCGGGAAAATTTACAAAACGTGAGGGTGATTTGTACCGAAACTGCACTGGTAGAATGATTCATTTATTCCAAACGAAATTCGTTAACTATTAACGAATGGTAGAGTTGAATATGACCAAATGAATATTCGTTAATAGTTAACGAATGGTTCACTTGAATGGCGAAAGTCAAGTAAAAAAAGGCTCCTCAAATGTACATTCGTTAACTATTAACGAATGAACATTTGGTGGGACCGAATAGACCCTAACCTCCAACCAAAATCCATTCGTTAACAATAACTAATCCGTTCTATCAGTGTGTAAAATTTACCCTGCATCCCATCAAAAATTATCCCAGTGAACGTAAATAATTGCTCCAATTTTTCGTATAATTTTTCAGTAACGGAGAATGATTTTCACAGAACCCGTTTGTTTAAAATTCATTTCCGTCCGTCCCCATGACCTTTGGACGGGTACAAAACCGACAATCCCCTGCCGGTGTGAGAAATTTTGCTAAACAGAAGGATAATCTTTGCATCCATAAATGCATTTTTTACCGAGAAAATAGGAAGATATCCACTAAACACCAGTATTTTTTCACTGAATTACATTTCGCTCCGCGATTACCATTCGTAAAGTAGAATTTCTCACGATTTTCGAGGTAATTTTTATCGTACTTTTCTCTCCATGTACTGATAAATGAAACAATTATCTACTTGTTTCTCATCAACTTCCCTCAGCCATGACGGTCATCCATGCGGCTTACGTGAATTCATCCGTAAGTAATTAAGTGACGCGATTAATGATTAATTATTGAGGAGAAGACATTAATTGACACGGCTGAAATTTCAAGAAGGAATTGCCTATTTGATTTGATTTTATTTAAAACCGGACATACCATCAAATGCAATTTGATTCTTTATAATGTCTTAAGGATATGCAAGTACTGTCACAATTTTTTTTTTAATTGAAATTATTTTTTTCATTTGTGGTTGAATATCAGAGCTTCCATTCAAGTCTCATTCGACTCTACCTTTTCAGACATTTTCCAATGATTTTATTATTTGACTTTTAGAAGTCTAAATTTGATTCTTCATTTTAGACATTTTCAAATTGTGAAATAAGGAAGAATTTTAAAACAATGAAAAAAATGAGAATGTTTATCAAATAATTATTCTTTATGTCCTTGATGTTACAAAAGTTTTTCTTTACTTTACATCTACACATGCCTTCCTCCTCCTTCATCATAGAACTATGTCTATACGCCTCTCCTCCTTCACAGAACAACAACAATAATTCTTACAAAACTTTCATGAGATAATCAGAAAATTGTCATTTTTCAAGATTATGACATTCTTCCATAAATCGTTTATAAATAAACAATTTTTCACACTAAAGAGAATTTAGTCGGAGTTGTAACGGATTTTCCAGGCATCAAATTATATTAAAAATCGATTTCATACCAGTAAAAGTGAGGTTTCCCTAACTTTTAAACAATTTCGATTATTCCTGTTAAATATCCCTGAATTTTATGAAATTTGATTCACGAAATTTAATTGACATGTTTCTGACTCTACATTGTGGCCCGAACCAGATATAAAAAGTATTTCCATATCCTTCAATTATTCAATTAATAGTATATTTCAGCATGTGTGGGGCAATTTCGTCTTTAACGTGTGTGGGGTTTACAGCATGAGCCGAAGGCGAGTGATGTAACCACACACGTTAAGGACGAAATTTCCCAACAAGTACTGAACAAAATTTTATGTCACGAAGCCTGAAACCGGCTGAATTAGACACGAGACGCGAAGCGTGGAGTGTGTAATCCAGCCGGTTTCAGGCATGAGTGGCATAAATATATATTTTTTTAATTCAGTGGAAAAAATATTTTTTAAGATCAAAATTTTACTGATTTATTTGTTTCCGGAGAATCGAATTATTATGCATTTTGTCACGAAATATATCAACAATCATGAGTAATAAAAATTAATTCCATTGCCTGAACAGGAGACTCGGAAAAATGTGTGCATGTCAGGGGTTAATAAAAAGGAGTCCTATTCCAGTATCATAAGAAATAAATGTCACATTCTTTTTATATTACTGTATTACCAAACGCTCTAATTCATGTACGATTTCCATTTCCTTCATTAATACCAGAATATTAAACAAAAATATAAATCAAGAAATTTTTCTCCACATGAATTCGGATCGATAGGAAGCGTTGTTGAGTCCAGTCACGCGATCTTACCTGAGATTGACATTGGTAAGATTGATAGTTATGCACAGGTGAGTTTTTTCAATTTTCAGCCGGAAGAACCCACATGAGATGACTGACTGATCCAAAGGTCTTCAGTCTATTTACATTATCGTAGATTATTTGTCTCCAAAATCATTACACAACCTTCGACAAGAAATAAAACGTGTCATGTATGGAAGAATGGGGGGAAATGAATCCGGCACGTCAATCGAGACTTGAAAATTAATATTAACTCAGAGAAGAATTTTCAGAACTCCGTGATATTGAAATCCAGGGAGAAAAAAGCCCTGGATTTAAGGATATCCGAGTACTTCCGTTAAAGTTCACAACTTTTTTCCAAGCAAAATTTCAGTTTTATCCAAAATTATTGTCATCCTCATACTTTTCCAGATTTTGTTAATACGTTAAAAGTTCAAAAGTTTTTTTCTAGTTTTTGGAAGTTCAAGTTGTTCGAATTTTTTTTTCTTCAAGTTTTTTTGTTACTAAGTTGTTTTTACCAAGTTTTTTTAACGGGAGACTACTATGAGTTTTAAAAGTCGCCGGCTATTGGAATGAGATCTCTAATACATGGAAGATCGATTATGACATCTAAAAACGAATAATTAGTGCAAAAAAAAAATTGTTTATTGATCGTTTATCCCGCACACGTTTCGAAAGTTAAAAATAGTTCAGGGCCTCCAATTTTTGAGCTACAGAGGTTTTTTTTTCAAAATTTTTGAAAAAATGTGTATAATAACAATTGCGAATCAGTTTTTTAAAAATGCAACTTCCACACTGCTAATTTTGTCATTTTTTCAATAAAAAATAACACTATTTATGTACAATAGCCCGAAAAATGCAATAAAAGATCAATTTTTTTCTACTAATTATTCGTTTTTAAACATATATAATAGATCTTCAAAGCATGAGAAATCTCACTCCAATAGCCCACAACTTTTAAAACTCATACTAGTCTCTCCTTAAGGAGTAACAGAATGCCCTTAATTTTTCAAATTTGTGAACAAATTTGCTGCCGAAAATTATCGATATTTTTACAAATCAAAGTACATTAATCTCCAGGAGGCGATGATGCAGATCAATGTGCTTTGGATGCCAAAAATATTCATAACTTTGCGCATGAAATTTCTTTGAAAATTTCAGGGAAACGGTGGCCTTCTGTTACCCCTTAACGGAAGTTTTTTAAACATGGACCGAATTTACCAACGTCCGAAATGGACAAGCATCAACCGCCAATAGATTATTGACAGTAGATAAAGACTATTAGAATGAAACTATCCGAATTTTTCTACTTCGGAGGTACCCGTTTTTTTCCCGCTTTGAAATGAGCTCTGACTCTTCCAAATCGCACGTTCGGTCAGTAGATACGGACGATTAAAGACAGCCCGCTCAGCCCACTCTCGCGAATGCCACCTTTATCTGGAAGTGGGAGGGAATCGGAGGGTCATGGGAGTCAGTGATAACTCTGGCATCGCAAGAATTGCTCAGTTTGTTAGTTTGTAGCCGGCTCAGTGCCGGTGGAATCGTTCAAGTGATACCAGCTGATCTGGGGAGAGCGGAAAACATGGCGATGCGTGCGCAAACGAGGCTTCTTAATATCACGAGGAACTACCGATCGGAGACAGCTAGAAGTATACTTTTGCAATATGTAGCACCAAACATTTTAAAAATGCTTCTCAATTCTCCTATTTTTTTTTGAACGAAGAAAAGTTGTAAATTGTGGTGATTTGAATGCTATTTGAGTGATATTTTGTTTTCTTAATTAAAAATGCTGGATTATTAATAGGGTTCTCGGTTTCTGCAATTTTAAAGAATACAACGGGTGAGTCAAGTATTATGAAGCATTTATGTTCTAGTTTCTAACTAAGGTTTGTGTCCTCTGAGAAAACTCGTCATGTAATTCGTGGGAAATCTTATGCTTTATCGGAGGAAACAACATGAGACAAAGTAGATCTCGCGAAGTAGATATGGTCGATGTTCGGTGACAGTTAATATTGTTGTATTTCAATTGACGCGTTCGATGTTCAATGGAAAGTAGTGAAAATAATGCCGTGTTTACCGATTGTTGATCTTAATTTCAACTGTTTGAGTGGCTCTGCGCGAGGTGGCGGGACCTCACATATTTGGGAATTCAAATTCAAGGCTAACATCGACTGAGTAATCTGAGTGACAATTGATAAATTCTACGAAGAGAGTTTTCCCATTTTTCCCCAATTAAAACGTCTTAACGCTCTCTGTCTTATCTTAGTCCTAGTCTGGTCACCACATGTGACTCTGCGCCTTTAGTCAACTCCGCGAGGAGTCGCCACTGCGTTATTCCAGTTTCAGCGTTGCCGAATTCACTCTATACTAGTCGAGCGCGTTTAACGAGGTTTCGGCAACGTCGCGCAACGGGCAATTTCCTGTAACATGGGAACAATAGTACATTTCGACACTAGGACGTGAGGGACATTTCTGGCGAATGTGAGCTTACAGGACGAGCCGAAGGCGAGTTCTGTGATCATATGAGGTAGAAGAGTTCTTCACGGCCGTGTCAAACAATATCTTTTGTCATTGGGCCCGAAAACCGCTATTTAACCGAGCAAAGGGAGGCTATAATCGCGGTTTATCGGGCCTAATGACGAAAAAATTATCTGTTTGAAATAATCGGTTTTCTGTAGGAATTTCGGGAATTGTGTTGTTTTAAAACTACAGTAATTTTTTAGACGTTTCAAATGAAAAAGGATTTTATTTTTTAATTTTTTGGTTCCCTCGGCTTTTCCTTCATGAGGTGACCACTCTAATGTTAAACGACCACGAGATAAGACGAGGCAAAATAATGTGTTGTCTTAATACTTCGTAAAGTTTAATTCATTCCCACGCATGTGCAACACATTTTTAAAAATATATTAATTAGTTTAATACAGTCCAATTTTCGTACAAGAGACCACAGGGACTGTAGGAAAATAAAATTCTGAGAATTACGTATCCCCCATTTCACTTGTGCTCAGAGGGGAAAATATTTTGATTTGATATTCTTCGTATAAGATACTAGACGATTTCCATTTTTCATGATCATTTGAGCATGATTCCTGATGTCAAACGCGAATGTTTGATTAGAAGTATTGTTTCTTTTGAAAATAACAATTTAGCAGCTCGGAATAAGTTAGTTTATTAATAGAAGCTTTACAGCAAAACAGAATGTCGGAATTTCACACATCTTTTGCAGACATTTTTCAGCCACTAAAAAACGTCTGAATAAAGTGAAAATTTGTCTGAATTGTAGCCGAACAGGTGCCCAAACATCGTAATTCATGTTTGAAATTCAGACAAATTTTCATTTTATTCAGACGTTTTTTAGTGTCTGAAAAATGGCTACAAAAGGTGTGTGAAATTCAGACATTCGCTTTTACTGTGCTGTGAGGCAAAATTGAGACTTTCATTAGAATTTTGGTTTTCATAATAATTGGGTCCAATTTAATGTTGTTTTATATATTTATCCATCCTAAAATGGACGTAACCATATGGTGGAATACATGGAAAAAAATAGATATTTTACAAGTTTTATGACCAATGCGTTTAATTTTTTTTATGAACTGTAACGAGTGCCCATTCAGAAATTGCATTGATGTGTAATTAAGTTGTAGATCATAGATGCATATATTTCCAATAATTTTTGGAATATTTCAACTCCATTCCCACTCAATTCTAGCCCCTTTGTCGAGTATCTTGTACGGAGACTGGACAGTATATTAATTAAGTATTGTAATATATTAGTATTTAAAGGGAAATGTGCACTGATAGAAAGGATTGATTATTCTTAACGAATGGATTTGGTTGGAGACGAGGGTCTATTCGGTCTCACTAAATATTCATTCGTTAATAGTTAACAAATGCATATTTGAGGAGACTTGCTTGACTCGATTTTCATCTTTCAAGTGAACCATTCATTAACTATTAACGAATATTCATTTGGTCATATTCAAATCTACCATTCGTTAATAGTTAACGAATCTCGTTTGGAATAAATGAATCGTCCATCAGTGTGAATTTTCAAATAAGACGCCGGGTCAAATCCCTTTTTTTCACCATTATTTTTTCAACAAAAACGTTTATTAAATTGAGAAAAAAATGCAATTCCGAATCTCATCGAGTTTTCTGGTAATTCTGTGAAGTTTTTAATAATTTTAATAATAATTTATCGTAAGCAACCTTAAGAGACCCTTTTCAGTAAATAATTCAGACATAAATGTCTAAAAGTGTGGGAAGCAATGAATGATGTGATTTTGATTCTATTACATTTATAATCATTTTAGCAACATTCAATTGGCAAGATCCCTTCTGCATCGAGTCTCAGTACACTCAGGATGAGATAATAATACGCGATCAATTCCGCTCGTACTGCCAGGAGAAGCTCCAGCCGAGGATTTTAAATGCATTCAGGAATGAGCATTTTGATAAGGAAATTATGAAGGAACTGGGGTCCCTCGGGGTTCTCTGTCCCACTCTGAAGGGGTATGGGGCTGCGGGAGCTTCGTCAGTGGCTTACGGACTCATTACCAAAGAAATTGAATCTGTGGACAGTGGGTACAGGTCTTCATTCTCGGTGCAAAATCTAGCCGCTGTTGCCATCGACTCTTGGGGAAGTCAAGAGCAAAAAGATAAATATCTACCTAAACTTGGTAATTTCGTTAACTTAATTTATGAATTGTTCGGTAAATGCCTCCCACACTGGTGGATTAACAGAAGAATGTCAAGAGTTTTTTTAGCCAGGAGACGAAATTAAATGAAAAATCATTAATGAAAGATCATTTAATTGAATTCGTGTGGATTATTCGCGGTACTGATATTTCACGACAAATGAATTAGATTATGCAGTGAAAAATTGTCGTGGATTAATTGATGGAACGAAATGAGTCTATTATATTTTGAAATCAGTGTTGAAGAATGTTCCAGGTATGTAAATTTTGAAATAAAGATTTTTTTATTGAAATATTGTTGGGATGAAATAAAAAATTTTCAATTTTTTTTATCCCCTAGGGGGGGGGGGATTAAAAAAATCATTCAACATTGGTTTAACTCTAATTGGACCTCTATTCTCGAATCGGTAAGTGACTGAGGGTTCCTGTGACTTTGCTCATCTCCGCGGGGATGCGCCGCCGTGTTATTTGAACTCCACACGGAGAGAAAAATTCAATAAAAATTACCAGAAAAAAACGTAAAAATTACATTTTGCAACGTAACCCGCGAGCGAAGTCAAATTCACTAAAAAGTGTGAGTCGGAACTGAAATTGTACGAATTGTACTCACCGCTGTGGGGACAACAAGTCGTTCCGTAATTTTTTCCCCAACGATTGAGAAATTTCACAGAACGGAACGTAGAAATAACTCATCAGCTTCATAAAAATTGTTGAACGTTCAAGAATTTTTGATTTTCGAGGCATAATAAGTCCGGAAGTTTCTGTAAGATTTTGCTTCTTTGGGAAAAATGACAATTTCGTACTTTATTCGGTGATGAACCTGAAAATTCACTGAACGTTTCAGATTTCTTCACTTCCATTCCTATGAAAATTGTCGGCAAACGATTCCCCATTGCGGATTACGTGAATTGTTCTGTAATTTTTACTGAATATTTCCCTCCGTGCAGCGTTGCCTAATTCACTCTACACTGCCCGGGCGCGTTTAACGATTTTCCGGCAACGTCGCGGAATGGACGATTTCATTCAACATGGGAATAGTATATTTCGATACAAGTGCGGAGAAGTGTTTTTTGGCTCGTGAGGGGTTTATAGCACGAGCCGAAGGCGAGTTGGCGGGTTTTCAGTTGAAAACCCGA